GGCTACCGTTACCATGAGGAGCTCACTGGCACCTTCAGAAACTTGGACCGAGAACTTGTCGTCTCCCATGGCGCTGATGATGTGACCCGCGAGGAGAATCGTGGCGACACGACCCTGCCACCTGTGAAACACGGCGTAGTGCCGAAAAGGTACGGCTAGTATGTCTGCGGTGAAGTCCAAACAGGGTCCGGAGAACAGGGGAAGCATGTTGAGGAGAGCCAGGTTCCCGGAGCGGGCGAGAAGGGTTGACGGTCGGAAAGTCAGGCAGAACACGTTCACGCCCAGGAGGAGGGTGGGACCGAGCAAGGAAATAGCATTCCAAGGACCAAGCAGCGAGTGGCGATGAACGAGAAGCCGATAGACTAGATACTTCTCCATAAGATGGGCAAGTTGTTTCCGAGCCCGTCCTGTGCGAGACAGGACGTTCAAGAAAGCAAGACCAACAATCATGCCAGCAAGACAGATTGCGTAGGAAGCGGTAACCCAGTCCATGAGCGCTTGTGACTAGGAGAGTGGGGATCCGGGAAGAAAACCGATAGTAGTGATATATAGATACTGTAAGTACAGACGAATGCTGAATACAGGAAAGGACCGAAGAATCAAAGAACTGAAGTAGTCCAGGGAACAGTTGCAACGCTATAGAGCATGAGTGACAGGCACAATTGGCCACCCATCTTCAGCAGAGCAGGAAACAGCCGGAAGAAGATCAATTAGGCACCGGTGTTGCCCTGTCTCCACATACGTACTCCCGCGGGAAAACCGCAACGCGTGTCAAACTGACAAGACCGAGGAGACACTCGGTATCGCGATGTCTTAGAAGCGGGTGCTGTAGGTCTCAGTCAGTCGTCTGGATCTCTGGCGCGAACCTCAAATGTAGCTGGTGACACGAACACTTTGCAACTCAACGACGGACGACGCAGAATCGATCGCGACTAGGAAGGCAAACCCGTCCGAGTCGGGGGCCCAGCGGCCGAGGTCGTCGATGCCTGGCGTTTCCTTGCAGTACTTTTGCATGAGGAGTTGAACGACATGGCTGAGAGCCGTGAGATGACGGTGGCTATGGCCTCTGAGCGGCTGGCAGAGGTGCTGTTCGGCTATGTACACGGTTTCTAACGTCAGATGTCGAAATCCTAAGCCTATACTGATCGGGAGGTAGGCCAATTACCGATCTTCACCACTCCCGCGTCAGTCATCAATACGTTTCCTCCACCGATCGAAGTATGCTCCAAGCCTTCTCCCTCTAG